TAACTCCACTTTTGCTGCTGAAAGATCAAGTCTCCTGCGGACTCACCACCTGCAGGAGGATCAGTTGTATTCTTATGCAAAGCAGTATAAGACATAACTTTTGATGACTATGTGAGTAATACATTAAGAGCAGCTGTGATCTGGAGCAGGGACTGGTTGGGGGGGAGAAGCAGATGGCAAATTGGGCATTATTGCATCCTGTTTTCAGAAAAGATAAATGAAGTTCCCAACCTTTTTATATGAACAATACAACTTCAATTCATGATCAGGCTGAATTGAAGTTGTATCATTGGCCGATGCTGCATTTGGTTTTAATAAAAATATGCAGGCATTAGTATGGTAAATGTCCTATTCAAATCAACCATTACAACATTATCATGCCTTATTAGCTCTCTCAGGGCCCAATTAAATGTGAATGAAAAGATCTGATATTTGGGGAAAATGATCATATGGGGTAAAATTCTGACTTTTTTATTCATTTTTCATTTTATTCTGTTTTGGTTTAAAATTATTAGAGGTTGGAAGTGATACTGACTTGAAAATTGATGCCTAGAACATCTGTGTCAGTGAAACCAGTGGAGGTTAGTCTCAGCTCAAAAAGGTCCATGAGTATGTGCGCTGACATACTTGCCATATCACTCCGGGCCGGTGGGGGTGGACCCAGAAAAAGAATTACCCAATGGTTTTGTATGGCACCTTCTTCCTTCTCGCTTTACATGATGGTCCAAAAAGTGGCTCTTGGCCCAACGCTACATTTCAGATGTATATCAATGCTGAGGGGAATAGTTCTTTTTGGGACAATTTTTTCACATTTTTCTGCAAGTGGGGCTGCCCGTGGCCATTTTGAAAAAGCCTAAGCATTGAGTCACACACTGGTTCCGTTGTTTGTTTTATGCGGATCCTAAAACTACTACAATTGCCACTGCTGTTTGAGAAACTAATACTACAGGGTTATTCATGGCAGCAGATCTTCTGCCTTATTTGGTGGTGGAAAACGCTACAGTGTGCTGTAAGCAAAATAAAGAAATCGATTTTCGAATCGAATCGTGACCCATATCCGAAAACCAAATAGAATCAAGGATATTTGTGTGGAAGAAAGGGTCCAAAATATGGATATGGTGTAATTAGGTAATAAGAAATGAAGTTGTTGCAAATATGCAACCACTGCCTAGAAAGGATTAAGGGAGTTTTGCTTGGGCTGAAAAAAAACTTCAGGATTATCTTCACACACAATATACTGTATGTCTCGCTTTAATAAATCTTGGAATTAAACCCAAACTGCATGTGTGCACGTGTTCTGGCTTGAGGTCGCATTAGGATGCAGTTTGGATGGAGCCGCAGCCTCTGTAGTATTGTATCGGCCCAACAAGATTCCTGACAATAGCAGCCCACAAGGAAAATCACAGTCAAAAGCTCACAAGCAAAATAACATGCTGATGTCATCATCAGAGGTTCTTGGAGACACTGTTTGGCTCCCGGGTAACTGATGCTGCCTTCATATTGAATAGTATTTTCAGTTTAAGCCTGACAAAGAGTAAACATTATGTCCAGTTTATGAGACTTCAGCAATGTGAGAATAAGTCTCATGGAAAATAAGGAAATTAAGGGGAAAAGATTTTCCTGTGTTGCGTATGAAGTGTTGAGTAACGGAATACATGAAACACTGTTACGTATTCTGTTAGACTACTCTCTTTGAGTAACTGAATTCTGTGCGTCATGCGACAAATAATAGAAACAGCATAAGCACAGGCTGAATATTTTTTATTGGATAGAAACTCTGAAAGCACTGTGAGCAGCTAGAAGTTTGTCAAACTTCAGCTTTGGCCAAAGGAATGTGGAAGATTATGAGAGGAGCCTGCAGACATCAGGATAAAACCCTTTTTGGGAAATTCAAATTCAAGCTCTTTAGCCTGATTTGACTATTACTTCGATTGAAAAATGATACCCTTTTTCTGTACACCAGTCTGTCCATGGGTGGTCAAAGCGTTTAACCATGAGTCACAAGTTCGCTCAATTGTCAAGAGTTTGTGCTCATCCGTAGATTTTGTTGCAAGATAATTCAGGAAATGTTCAACCTATAGCACCTTCCGCTGTTATCCCGTCGCACTCTCAATCACCACATGGTCATCTCCTTTTATCTCTCCCCATTTTCAAAGGACAACTTCTCGCAAATCTTATGTACAGTAAATGTAGTTCTATGAGTATGTGTGTGGGCTTTCGTGGCATTGGGCACCCGAAGCCTTGGCTAAGTTCAAAGGAGGTCAGCAGGTCTATTTTTGAGCTTTAATTTCCAAAGACATGTTTAACTATTTCCTGTAGAAATACATGTCACAACAAAAGAAAGCATGATAAAATCTCATGTTATTATAATGTAAATATAAGCCTGTATATAAAGAATAATATATAATTCTTGCCACCATGTGCAAAGTCCAACACTCAGATCGTTTTGTCCCACACATGAACAATTTGAGGGAACAGCTTACAACTTACCTGGCACAGTGGCACACCTGGTTAAACCTTTAATAACAAATACATCATGATCATTACTCCTGGCTGCTGTGCTATTAAGCCACAGCACAACATACATCTCTATCAACGTCCACTTACAAAAGGTTATCCCTCATTTTGCTCCAACGTTGGCTGATAAATGTCTAGGGGACTCTCAATATTTCGGTAGTGGAGAAGCATCTGTCTTAGTTGGGGCGCAGATGGGAGCCCGGCCTCTATGGCAGTGACATACGAGGACCAGACCAACATGTGATGGATCTCTTCCACTTATGGATCTCGACCAGCTCAGATCAGCAGCAACAATGGGCCCAAGAGGGAGCCACAGCCACTTCCTTTCAATAAGTCTGCAATTTACACTTTGAGATTGAAACACTGTTCTAACACCAAGGAGTAGCATTTGCCTGACTAGCCTGGCCCTTTGTCATTCTGACATTTTTAATCATATGTGGAAAATTATTATGGTGAATGTGTGTGTTCCTGTGCTGGCTGATCATGCCAGAGTAGTGAACGAAATGCATTGAAACAGCAAAACTAAAGTATTATTACCAGGCATCCACAAAAGATCAATGTTTTTGAAGATGCAATTCAATGTTATATTTCCTAGACCAGCATTCATTTGTTTGCATTAGGCTCAACAGGCCATGTTAATACCATCATAACTCATTACTAAATCTTTGCTGATGAACTTTTTAAGATACATTCTTATTCTCTTATTGTCTTACACCTTTCTTGCCTTAGGAAATTATTTAAAAAAAAAAAAAAACTCAACAAAGTGCTACACACATAGATTTAGTATTATTTGAGCTTTTGATCTTGGGCACAGCATATTTTAACTCAAGCTCATGTTTTTGATAGCTTACAAATTCATAAAAGTTCACTGGCCATCCTTCTTCCTCTGTGCCCTCCGGGTCTTATGCATTGAGGAGGTTCCAGGCATGACTACGATAATTTGTCATTTCATCTTCAGATATGCCGAGTAGAGTAGATAGATACTTTATTGATCCCCATGGGAGAAATGCAGGCGTCCAGTAGCAGCAAAAATAAAAAGTTAAACTGATCATTCTAAAAAGCTAACAATAGTAATAATCAGCAACACCCCTTCAGGTCACAGCAGCAGAGGTGGAGTAGTTTCTGGGTGGTGCAAGACAGGTCACAAGGTGGAGTAGCTGCTTGTTTCATATTATTTTCTCTGCTCTAATCCAATGTAAAATGCTAAATGCTTCATTAGCATTTTTCAAAAAGTAGGAGTAGACTAACCAGCGAGCGTGACTTTTCTAGCACACAAATGGGAGGACGACGAGAGACTGTGAAGGTAGTTGAACCCAGTGGCCATGATTTAGAGCATGCTGAGGGGGTTTGCTTTTGTTTGCTTTCTCCTCCGTGTTGACAGCCGACCATCTGCTGCAGAGCCCATCCCCATCTCATATAACTTCTGTATTTACTCGCTGTCAGAGCTTTAGGTTTGCCGCCACCACACACACAATCACATGTCAAGTGTACCCTGGAATAGGAGCCGACGGTACACCTACAAGTTTGAGGAAGGTGTGAAAAATGCTTTAATAAAAACTGAATTTGATTTTTTTTTTGTTATGACTCAAAGGTCAGCATGAGCACTGGACAAAGACAACTTTGGAATTAAGATCCGAGGGGAAATCCAGGAAGGTTTGCAGAGGAAGATATTGATAAAACAATTGCAACTTCACTTTGCATTTGCATTTAACTTATATGTTATATTTGCCCCAGTCCAGGTAGCTGAGGACATTTCATTTGGTTTTCAGTACAAATACTTAAGCAATGCTTTTTTAAGCTTTAATTAATCTGCATGAATAAATGATAATGTTCCATGTAATAAGATGGACTTTATTACCTTTGAACAGACTGAAGTTAATCTTTGCTTTTGAAATATGAACCACTTTTTTGGCAGTACTGTATCCCATTGTGTTTCTTGAAATATTCAATCATGTTTTTTGCAATTGTGAAAATGTGAATATCTTTGTGCCTTGTCAGTTTGTAAAACGTATCATCGCTGTAGACTTGGAGCCAAAAAAGGATTGAGACAAAAACATAAAAATAAAACTATTTATTTTGTACAAAAAGACAGCGACATCTGTTGAGCAGCACCTAAAAGTACAAAAAGTGGAAAGAAATAATGAAATAGTCCAGGTTCATAAGCTTTACTTACTACCAAAAAGTCATCATTGTGTAAAAGAAATAATAATTGCTTGCTCTTTGAAATTTAGACAGCATTTGTACAGCACAATACTGTGAACTTCCAATCGTTCTGCCCTGTTTTTCAAAGGATATACTGTAGGAATAAGGATACAAAAGCTTCTGCTGGACCTCAATATCAAGCCATGGCATCTTGAATAAATTAGGTGTAAACAAATGCAAGAAGAAAACACATTATAATGATAAAAGTTCTATTTTCCAGTCTTTGAGGATTATTTGGCAGAAGCTCGGCAGTTTTTCATTGTCATATTCACCTGGTTTACTCAGCGCGGCTTTGCTCCTCTTTTCGGGTCGCTGTTGTCCTTAGGTTTGGCTGACCGTGCAAATTGCTGTGGAGTTATGTTAAGGAATACAAAAGCAAAACAGGCTTCTTCAAACAGAAATATGGAAGAATAGGGTAAGAGAATAAAAACAATTATCTATACCCATCCTTCCTTATGGGAGACAGCTTAGAATTACTGTCACTGACTTGTCATTAAACAAACTCATCACAATAGATATGTTATCCATCAGGTATGTGAACAAGTGGGACTGCAAAGCAAGAACTGAGGCTTGGCAAAGAACCTTTAGCAATTTTCAACCCGTGAAAATGGCAAATTTAGGTTAGTGCCCAAAAGTCATAATCATGGCAGTCAGCCCATACTGTGAGGGATACCGGACCAAATAGTCAGCCACAACTTTAGACCAACCCACGTTTAAAACTACATAAAACTTACCTATGTACTGAAATCAATCTGACAAGCTTTAATAGTTTGGTTCTATCACTATTTTTACATGCATGTAAATTTTGGTCGGACATACTGTACATGCTAATTAGTTAAGAACCCGGATGTGAATCATTGAATACAAATTAGAGATAAGCACATTATACAGTGATGATTGATGGTAGAAGCACCAGGACCACTTCAAATCCTTCATTCATACTGTACCCTTCAGGTCATAACTCACAATCTCCTTAGCTCAGTCTCAAACTCTTCTAATTCCTCTGTGGACGCTCACACAAAGCCCGTGTATTATTATGCTAACCCCGGCGCATATTGCAGAAAAACTCAAGTACAACCACGGGCACATTTCTCTACTTTCCAGCAGAAGCTTCAAGCCACTGGGACCGTCTTCCCTCTGACACTCGCTGCTTCATATGAATTTAATTTGAGGAAAGGTCGCCGGTGCTGCCTCTTAAATGCCAGAGGAAAAAAAAATCGGACCTCATAGATGCTTGGCTGTGTCTGAAGTTCACTCATTTTCCAGTGACAGTGCCTCGTCTAGTGCCATTCGAGAAAACAAGGGAGATGATTGGCTGTGTATAGGTTATAGATCACTGCAGAGCCAGATGTGGTGGGAGTCGCTGTGTGGGATAATAAAATTTAAAGTAGCCCAGGTTCGTCCACTAATTTGTGCAGTAGACTGAGAGGATTCGCCCCAAATGCTGCAGTCTCACTCCAGTACTAAAATAATGATTCAAATGGAACTCAAGATGGGAGCCACTGTCCTCTGACTAGGACGGCATTACCTTGCTGAACTTTACAGAGTCTACTTTATTATTTTATCTCATACTTTGTTATTCCGGACACATTTTCTACCTAAAGTTTATGGAAAAATAACTAAATAAAATTGTTTAGTTCTTCTTTTCCCAGAAGCTATGACAAGAATTTCTTTCAGAAGAAGTCTTACTTTGGTGACAGCTTGTCTAGTCGATATCTTAATGATTGAAAATTATTATTTGGAGGGCCTCTCCAGCTAATAAGTCACATTTTCAGTTTAAAGACTATATAATTATTTGTAAAAATATTTTTGTATTATTATTCCAGTTGTTGTAATCCTAGTAATAATGCATTGGTTTCATACAGTGCTTCTTTGGACACTCAAAGACACTTATTATTTCACTCCATACAGGGCAATGTGGGTAAAGTGTCTTGCCTAAAGACACACAATTAAAAGTCCCATATCACGCTTTTTGACTTTTGTCTGCTTTAAACATGATTACAGTGCCATTTGGCCTTCATACACATGCCCAGAGTAGTTTTTTTCATTGATTCTGTCAATCTTTAGAGAGCGATCTGTCTCCTTCACCCTCAGGGGCAGTGAAACACTCGGGTCCACATCTGTGACGATTACCACATTGGACACCACATGGAGTTACTGTTTTTCTGCTTTTCCCAGCGAATACAAGTGTTAACTTGGAGAAAAGATGTTTTGGGTGTAAAAATGTGACGCTCTACTTGGCCCAAAGAGGAAGAATGCGGATCAACTTTTTTCAAATGGATTTGCCTCCGTTTGAATGAATCTGTTCATCTTCCTGCTCTCCTCGAGGTCAGACGTGTCTCTCCTGCTCTGCTTGCCCTGACTGTCTTTTTTTCCTAGACTTCTGCCTGTATACAACTTGAAAAAATGATGGAATTAATCAACTGGTCCCTCAACGCAATTGATACTATTTTTTCATCACGTAAAGGCGGTTCTGGAGATGCCGTTTGCCCGGATGGTACGGCGGCTGCTGGGTACGTTTTTGACAACTGGCAAAAGTGGCACCCCGTTTGTCTGTCGGGACTGTCCATCGAGGACATTGAGGATATATACATTTTTGGATTTATGGTAGCAGGGTTCCTCCTGATTGGATTTGGAGTTGGCTTGATCTACCGCAAAGTTGGAGGGCTGTCCACTCAGAAGATTTACGAGCGGCTGTCCGCGGAAAACAAGGAGAGTTTCCGCGAGTTGGTCAGAGTCGTGGTCGAGGGCACAGTGGGGACACAACGGGGTGTGAGTCGGATCGAACATTCCCTTAACGACCTGGGAGTGAGATCTTTGGATGGACTTAAACGCGTGGAAGGATTGATTGAAGGACTTGGGCCTCACGGTGGAACGGAGGGTCCAGTTCCAGTATAATTTGGACATATTGGCTTTAGTTTACACTGCCTTTCATTGATCAGCTAAAAGTGCTTATTCAAATTTCCCACAAGGGCATGTGTTGTTTTGTCTCCAATGTTTGCAGGCACCTGCGCTATCTTTGTCCTTCACATTCCACCACCGCACACGGCCACTCAAGGCTGACACTGGACTCTTATCTATCTCAGACTCACAACTCAGAACACCAGTTACAGTCCCCCCCCCCCCCCCCCCCCCTACATGTCTGCCTCTCTCTTTTTTTCAGTCTATGGTGGTCTTCCCCTCCACCTCCCCCACCCACACTCCCCTCTGACGCGCTATATTGGACGAGGCGGGCCAGAGTGATGACTTCCCATTAAAAAGATCCGCATGTTTTTCCACATGTACCGTGTCTCTCCCCATGTTTGTTGAAATATATGTCTGTTTTGCTCTATGCTGTTGAATAACTGTTATTCTACTGTTTGTCGCATGGCGCCGTAAAAATGGCGCCGTGGCAAGAGCTCTGGTGTGTGTCGTCTTCTGGTGCACACCGGGGTAGTCTTGCACAGTTTTCCAATGTGGTTTTACTGAAAATGGCAAATAAATGAATCTGAATCTGAATCTGATCTGAATCTGAATCTGCGACACTTCACTAAGACCGTTCCAGAACTACAAGGACAATGGAACTGGACTTACTCAAAAGCTGATCTGGAAAGCAGTATTATTCCCACGATAAAAGATGCTCACATGGACCTCCGATCTGTGAGTGCAGAGATGCTAACTCGCCGTATACTAAATACTAAATAATCAGGGTCTGATTGTGGATCGAGGACATAGGGCTTGATGTGTCATTTTTGGAAAAATTTTATTCTCAGGTCTGAAATGACTAAGTACTGGTGATAAACAGCTCAGAGCGTGATGCTACGTCACCGTGTGGGCGGGGGAAGGCGGGCTCACAGACAGAGGAGCAGACTCCTCTCTCTGAATCTGCTCATTTGAGTTGAGGTGACCCCTCAGTTACCCCTGAGATAGGCCATTATTTTACCCATTTAAAATAATGGCCTATGTCAGTGTGTGAGTGTCATTTAAACGCTTTTTGGGTTTTCTGAAAATCATGAAAAAAATATTTGATTTATCTGTTACATCCAGATTCCACTATTGGATCAATAGTTTTGTGAGACAGCTCTCAACATGGTGCAAAGTTAACTTGACTGGTGCCTTTTCCACAGTTTCAACATAAACTTTTTCACACTGGCTACGTCTGATGCAACTGGGAATTGAAAAAGAACGGTCCGTTTTAGCTGGCAGAAATATATTCTTCCTTGTCCATTTAAAGTTGAGGAGAGTCAGGGAGAGTTATCCAAGTAAAAAATGACTTTTCACTAAAATAAATGTTATAATAAATGTTTGCATTAGACTCCAGTGATATTTAGCAATGTTTACTAATCACATCATAGTCAAATTCATTAAATTACTGTATGTTAAAACTAGATAGAGCTGGACTTCATTAGAAGTCACTGTTTCACTTAACGGTAGTATCTTGTTCTAAACTTGTATAATAGTATACGCCTGGATGAAACTCCTCACTGATAGTCATCATTGACTAACTCTGTATAACCTGCATGTTACATTTCTAAGCCCTTGTGTTGGACAAGAGGGCACATCTTTTCAGTCCTGATTTTTGCCTTGTTTATTATTAATAAAATATATACAGTACAGACCAAAAGTTTGGACACACTTTCTCATTCAATGAGTTTCCCTTCTTTTCATGACTATTGACTGTAGATTCACACCCAGGCTGGGTAAGGGCTTTCTGACCAATATAGAGTGTGGTGGGGTGCTGGACCAGATGACCTGGCCTCCACAGTCACCGGACCTGAACCCAATCCAGATGGTTTTGGGGTGAACTGGGTCCAACAAGTGCTAAGCATCTCTGGGAACTCCTTCAAGACTGTGGGAAGACCATTTCAGGTCACTACCTCTTGAAGCTTATCAGGAGAATTCTAAGAATGTGCAAAGCAGTAATCAGAGCAAAAGGTGCTACTTTGAAGAACCTAGAATATAAAGACATATTTTCAGTTGTTTCATACTTTTTTTTAAGTACATACATAATTCCACATGGGTTCATTTATAGTTTTGATTCCTTCAGAGTGAATCTACATTCAAAGAAAACTCTTTGAATGAGAAGGTGTCCAAACTTTTGGTATGTACTGTATACATTTTTATATTTGTTTGGAATGCATTTGTTTTAGAAGTCTCTGAATGTCTCTTTTAATGTATACAAATATTTTGCAAGACCATAAATAACCAAAGGGTTCACATACCTTTTCTTGCCAATGCTCAAACTAATGGTTACGTGTTTTGGGTTTTACTCTTCAGCTTTACCTTTGTGGTTTGCTTTCACACTATTAGCTCTAAATCACACAGCCTATTAAATTCATATCCTGCCTAAAAACCCTCTAACAGAGATTTGTGTCCCCGTTTCATCTTGGGAGCAGGTACAAAAGGATACAACAACAAGAGGTTTGTCATAAAGCACGTATCCGTTGGTGTCCCGCAGGGCTCGCTGTGCACTCGCCTCGCTGGGGAGCCCCACGAAGGCCTGCCCTTTCATCCGCCCCTCCTTCATTAGCACAATGTCGAACCTGGGCCACACACACAGCAAAGACACATCATTATCAGTGCAGGCTGCAAGCACAGTGTCAGAGAGGATCACACACACACAGAGTCCATTCACCATTACAAACACTGATAATGTACTGGTAAGTCCGTGGACACTGTGCTTGGTCAGTAATGAGCTTGGTTAGCTGCAAATAAAAAATAAATAGATCCTGATTCAAACAATTGTAAGACAAGTGAATACCATGAGGTAGTGGGCAGATTCCCCAGATTGGCTGGATGTAAGATTTGGAAACGTGTCCACTCAGAAGAGTTTTAAAACACAAATGCTATCCTCTCTTCAAGACCTTTATATTATTGGACCACAATATATTTAGTGGATACATATTTGATATTGCGTCTCCACACATGTATGGCAGTAGTATTGTACTACAACATGGCTCCTAGCTTTAGTCCTCAAGACAAACTAAAACTGGGAACCACTGCTTTTAAGGGATGCTCTTGTACCTGTACGTTTTTAAGCACTAACAGTGAGTTTGATGGACATAGAACATCTCTGTTTGTTTGCCACCTACACGTCTGCACCAGGTCTGGCCTCGTCTCCTGAACATACGCTAGTGTGATGAGTCAGGAGGAGATTCATTTGAACTGCTGCTGATGCACAAACACAAAACGTCCCTCGTGATCTCCACGTCAGGTTAGATACTTATTAATATCCCAACGTGCAGTCAGCATGAATTACCACAGAATCCCCAGGAGGCAGGGACAAATTGCCAGAGTCAGAAATAGCTGGTGAAGATATAAGAGGAGTGGCACACGGCAACGGCGACAATAAGCTTTGGTGCCAGGGAGATAAATGATCAAAAATATAATGGAATAAAACAGATATGGTTTGGATTCAAGGTTTATAAAAATCTTTTATATTATCAACATTAGATTTGACTCTATAAACTCAATAAACACATCAGATAGAAATCTACTACTACATTAGTAGTAGTAGGAAAAGACTGATAACAAAACTGGTATCAAATGCTTTCATAGAGATTCCAGACATATTTTAAAAGCCCAGGGCTGATCAGTGATTTGGTGAATAGTAATGAATATATATCACCACATTTCGGTTTGAAATGATAGTTTTTGTGGCTTTATTTGTTATATATGAAGGCAGATTAAACAACATGAAGTAATTTGAGAAGAAAACTAATTGTTCTGCTCACATGGCTTATCAGGTATGTTTGGGGTCAAAGATAAGCACCAGAAGCCGAAAGTGGTATAAGTGACAATTAGTATGTAAATAAATAAGATGGATCTTAATATATTTCTCCCAATTTTCTTTCCAGATGAAAAAAAGATTGAAGACATTGTATTGAAAGTATCAAAAGATGTAGATATGTATCATGCCATATCAACTTGTCATGCTCAGCCTTAAAAGAAACGGCTTCAGCAACCCAAAGACAGACAAACCATTTTTCTGAAAATGGCCGCTGCTTCCCTGTGCAGCATTGCCATTCCATGTATGTGTATGTAAATCTAACTTGTATTCAGCCAGGCAGCTAAAATCAAAACTGAAGCTTAACCAGTTCTGTTTGTAAATACATTCCCTTTCATTTAAGCACTGAAGCAAATCTTATTTATACATGAACTGATGAACTTACATGTTTCTCTCCTCTTCAGACGAAATATCAATATACCTCCCGTAAATGTACTTCAGATCCTGCAACACAAATACATTGACTTTCCGCACACATAAAAGAAACGCGTTTTGAAGAAGTGGGTCAAACCTTCTCCTCCACTTGTTTGCCGATATTCTTCACGTACAGCCGGCAGGTCGGCTCGCCCGCAGAGTAATTTTTAAACACAGACATCCTTTTTATCTCTGTTAATAAAAATAAGAAAAAGATTACATTTTAAACTGGTACAAAAGCTTCCACACTCATGATACAAAAAGGGAAATTGTCATGGTGTGGATTTTGATTTTGTATTTCGCTTTTATTTTGAAATAAGTTGTGGTTTTGTTTCAGTTTGACTTCCAGTCCTGTCTTGTCAATGTCTGTTCCTGTTTCGTTGCTGCTTGTGCCTTTTGGATTTTTGAGTTTTAACCTGGACTTTTATTTTGTTATAATTAAATAATTATTTTTTGGCATTCCTGCATTTTGAGTCCTCCATCACCTCTCCACATGACAGAATGGACCAGCCACTAATGGACTCAGCGGATTGCCCTTTTTCCCACAAGTTTTTTTTGTGTGTGCCGATTGCCTTCCTCACTGCCTACCTCTTGCACCCGTTACCTGGAACCACCGCCAGGGAAGAAACTCCGCCTGGGGTGGTTATTCGTCTTGCACCACCGCCGGGCATTGATGTCCGTCCGGGGTGGTCCTCTGTTCCCTCCGCCCGTCCTGCTGAACGGTATCCAGTGGAGTTCTGCACCGGTTTTCACACCCTCGGTCTGCTGTTCTACGGTGACCTGTCCTTCCCTTGTCTCTTGCCGCCGCCAGACATTACCTTCGTCTGGGGTGGTTCTGCCCACAGCCTGAGTCACCGCCGGGCATATGTCTTCGTCCGGGGTGAGCCAGCTCCTTACTCTCCAGACCCTCGGGAAGGTTGCCACTGGACTTCAGCTCCTGTCCCTGCTCGGTTCCGTACTACTGACCTGTCTCTGGCCCATCCTCCAGACCCCCGCCACCCTCCCTGGCTCGTGTTTTTAGGGACATCTGGGAGCTGTCCCTTGGAGGGGGGGTACTGTCAGGGTGTGGATTTTGATGTTGTATTTTGCTTTTATTTTGAAATAAGTTGTGGTTTTGTTTCAGTTTGACTTCCAGTCCTGTTTTCCCCTGTCTTGATTGTCTGCCCCGCCCTGATGTGTTTCACCTGTGTCTGTGTCTATATGTACCCTTTGCTTCTCTCCCCTTGTTGCTGCTTCATTGTTTTGTCATGTTCTGTCCTGGTTACTTTGGATTTCTGGAGTTTGTTTTTTAGCCTTGGACTTTGTTTTATTAAAAGCTTTATTTTGGCACTCCTGCATTTGAGTCCTCACTCAGTTCACCCCGTGACAGAAATTCAAATTTGATCTATGTAAAAGATTTGTTCTTGATTACATTGACAACAATGTAATCATTGTTGTAAATGTAAACATTTACAACACATTGGTTTTAAAGTTTTTATCTTCTAAACTATCAACTTTCACTTTTATATTACTCCATGTCCACTATTTCTGTAATTCAACTTAAAACGTGAAACCAATAAAGCCTCTATAATATTCATAATTTTGGTTTGCAACCCATCTTCGAATTATGAGATTATTTTGGCAGTTTGTGGTTTCACATGTTTACATTTTTTTTCATTATTGTTTTTCTTAAAATAAAAAATTCATAAAATAAAAAATTATAATAGATTGGAAACAAGATGCACCGTCAGTTTTTTTCAATCATAAAAAATACAATGGACTGACTGTTTTTACACAAGCAAACTTGTACACTTATGTTATGCATCCATGTTATCATTTCAAACCGGTTTTTTGTGGTAGCACACCATTTTCATTGCTTGCAAGCCCAAATCAACTACCTTTATTCCAATATGCATTACAAAGACTTTTTCTGTTTGGCAGTGGAGAAAAGCATTTTTTGAAGACAGTTTGATAGACAGAATGCAAAATGATTCATAAACCTGTTAGCTACCATTTGTAGCATCAGAAGCCCATTTTTCCCCATTTTCATCTATTTTATTTTTTTTCTTGAGCCTGCGCTAGTAAAATAAATGTTATAAAACCATTCACTTAAACCTTTTTAATATTTGTACCTGAATCAGAAATAGAAAATTGTGCTGCATTGATAATACAATTCAAAAACGCATGTAAACTGAGCTCTGAAACCCAAAAAGTCAGAAGATCTCATCTATTAGCATTGTGAGTGAATATGAGCTTGCCCATCCAAAGTGACTAATTAACTTAAAAATAACTTACCGTTTCTGGAAAGACGGCCCTTCTCCAGCTCTCTGCGGGATATGACATCTTTGGGCATGTCCTCGTCCTCACTGTCCTGTTCTGGTGTTTCAGACGGCTGTGCGCTGGGAAAGAGTTTTCCAAATCCTTCGACCACATCTTCAGCAGCTGCAATGCTCCGAGGGACGCCTACCTCCTCTTCTGTGGTGCACAAACACAAGGAGGGAAAAGGTATGAAGAGCGCCCAAGCACACCTGATTTTATACAGCGATAACAAATAGATCACATACATCTTATTCCCACAATGAAGCATAACTCAGTATCTAAGTAATTGCCTCAGAAGTAAATCATCATCTGTCTGACACTGTCTTTCTGTCACTACCACTAATTCACACACACAGATTCAAATTCAGTCATGTGTAGAAGTGTCTGCCGAAGGAACCCTTTTCTCTACTGCAGCTTTACAAACCGTGGTACCCGGTATTATCCAAGCCACTAAATCTTTATCTTTATTAAACTGATATCCTTAGTTTATCCAGTCACATACGTTTAAATGGAAAAGGGGTCTAAAGGACAAAGATAACGGACTAATCCATATATGGTATGTAACAAAAACAGCGTTTGTTGACTAGAAAAGCATATTTTAACCCGTCTGCATCTTTCAGGTGGAATTATTTTAAAATCCCCGAGCAGATGGCTGAATAATCACTTGCACATTGTTTATCCTTTTCAGTAAACCACTCCGGCTCAGGGAGGAAAGTGGAGGAAAATCCTCTGTCACATCAGGTTCAGTTCATATTGATGCTTATGGTTTTATAGAACATCACACCGACTGGAGTTTGTTTGTTCTGTGAAATGAAGAATGAATGGACGTGTGGAAAGTTCACATGTCAACATTCAGTTTCATCCATCCATCCATCCATCCATTTTCTACCCTTTAATCCATTTCTGGGTTAGGGGGGTGGCAATCAGAGATGCCCCCCAAGTGTCATAGCACCAGCCCCTCACTGATCCTCTGCAGGTGGTGAGTCCACAGGAGGACGGCTGCTCTCTGAGTGTGAGCATAGCCTTGATCTTTAAGTTCACATGTCAACATTCAGTTTCATATTTTTAAATTTGGAATTAAATAAAATAACATTTGAAAGCCCATATGAATGACGTCTACAGCGTGTAAGATGGTACTTTCCATTTTTTTCCTCCCCATTTATTTGATAGTCAAACCTCAAGAAATATACGGAAACAAATTTTAGCATGATTCTTCAGGGTTTTCCATAATTACTATTCTGCATCTTTGGGACACTTTTTGTATATAGTGTTGTTAAAACATTGTCAATATTGTCCACCTCTACTTCCTAGTCTTTGTGAGTGACTTTGGATAGACTTGTGTATTGCCAATCCAGGCTTCTGCACACATTGTCAAAGGAATTACCAGGAGCAGTGAGCCTGTTCAAATCCACGAAACAGGGGAAAAGAAAAGACCTCTCTCTGAGGTGTGTGTGTGTGTGTGTGTGTGTGTGTTGGGGTATGCACTGGAGCAAAAGGCTTTTCTGATACACTCTCGACACAGAACTAGATCACTGCTTCCAGAAATTATCCCTGTCCTTATCGCTGCCCTGGCCCCCCCTTTCATTTAAATGGCTTGTTTATCGCATCTCCCTCCAGCGCCACTTCCCCAAAAACAAGACTAATCCAAAAAGCCACCTGTCATAGTTTATCTCACCCGCGCCTTCGCAAAATCTTTTATGTGTGACTTTGAGATCTATTTTACTTCTCAGGGTTTTGCAGCAGAGTGAAGTTGGAAGCAAGAGAGAAGGAAGATAAGGGAAAAAAATATGAGGAAGTGCGCAGCGGACAAGGAACACGGCTCGTCCACTGACATCCCTCAACAGTTGATTAAAAAAAATCTTGGAGTAACTTTTTGTATTACGTGTTGCCTGGAATGTATCCGAGTACTTTTATTAAATTACAAGGATTGGAATCGTTGGTAATGGAGATGAAAGTTGCTTCTCTACAATAGTCTAATGGTACAATATGTGATCTCTTTATCTGACGCTTACATCTTCATTGCTTCCCTGGTAGAATAATATAAACCATGTCTGCTAATGTTAACTATTGCTTGAACTAGAATACACAGTACTTCAAACCTGCCTCTTATTTTGCCAAACGTAAAATTCTTACACTTCTTTTTATTATTATTATTTTCAAGATAGAGATTGTATACTTGTTATTGATTCTAGAGTCAAAGATTTTTTATTTTAATTAGAATAGCTATTGTTCACTTATCTTGTGCTGTGTGCTCCTCTTTCCTACTGTTCTATAACTTGTGATGCAACACTGAAAATTCCCCACTGTGAGACGAATAAAGCATTTCTTAATCTTAATAATTGTCCGATTGTGTTTTCATCCATCTCAACAAGTGTGGGATGGTCCTGTGCTTAATCTCACATAACAGAAAGAAATGAAAGTGTGCACTGAGTAATGCATATTATAAAGACACAGGATGCTACACACGAGCTATGCTAATATGTGTAGTTCATATTGTTGTAAACTCATTCATTTGAAACCACATGTTGGACTGTGATCTGAAGTAAAGTTTTCTCTTGTCAACTTGTGAAGGTGAATCATTCCATCTTTCATTTCTGCGCTGAATTATTGACGGACAGATAGCCTATATTGCGATATGTTTGAAAAGACCTTGCCTTCAATAAGACTCAAACTTTCAAAAGATATATCCTGAGGTATTGAAGGATGTGTCCACGTCTGGCAGACCATTCTAGAACTGAAAAAATAACCAAGAAAATGAACAAAAAAAGCAAATTAATGAGAACATTTGGGGATTTGTTTTCTCAAACTCCAATTCAATACTAATATAGCTTAACACTAAGTAATAACCCATTTAATTCATAGGCATTTTGACCTTTACATAATAAAACTAAAACATACTGTCAAATAAGAAAACATATTTTTACTATTAAAAATTATAATGAAACATTTTACTTTGTCATTTCATGTTTTAGAAGGTGAAATAATATCTCAAGGTAGAAAATGTTGAAAATATAAAGAGTATAATGGGTAACAAATTCTTTCTGCCAGTAACTCCAAATACTACCACCAGCGAGAGGTTGCAACGAGGCAAAAAGCTCAAATCATTCCAAATCATTCCATTGACACATACAATATGCCTGCTTTACGCTGAGAGAAATCTAATCACTTAGATCGATCTTTTACATCTAATTTTGTTGCACTTTATCGGAACAAAATAGTGTGATTTATAAATGCAGTGATGTTGTTACCTCTGTGTAGCTTCTGAGAGTCCACATCTGGAGCATTCTCCACTTTTGACTCTAAAACTGAAATGTGGAACTCGATTTTCTTGTGTCCGGTCGTGGTGGGCTGCTCGAACACATCTGACGGCTGCAGCACTGGGGCACTGAGCAGGAGACACACAAACCACACGTCAAGGACATCACAACACATGAACTAATAAACCACATTTTCCCATGCAAGACAACATTTTTTGTATTACTGAATTTTATGGACTATAAGCAGCACCTGTCCCACATTGTAACATTGAAAAATGTTTCTCAGAAACGTTTATTGTGTCTTCTTATTCCTGTGAGTAATTAGAATATGAAGCGAGTCTCTGACTGTTCTTAATCTTCCAGTGTGAAGCAGAAAGACAAGGAGTCACATCTACTGGACCCTGTTCACTTGTCCATACAAAAAACACAAAACTATTATATGAAATATTTACACAAAGATAATATAAATGAGGACTTTTAGACTCTATTTAATTTAATTTATTTACAAATCTTACATTTAATTGGACCTCTGTGAACAACTTATCAATTCTGTTGGTCTACTGTAACTTGGCAAAACGTTTTTGGAAACACAGGAAAAAATAAATTAAGCCGCACCTTACTATAAGCCACAACCTTCAAAATGCAGGAAAAAAGCTGCGGCTTATTGTCTGAATAATATGTATACATTTCATTACACTCAAAAACATATCCAAACCGCTTTTATTAATAGGACAATGACCTAAAATCATGAGATCATCTGCAATGACGCTCTTGTGTCATTGCAGACATTACTGTCATACATTACTGAATACAAAGTGATTGTTTCTTAAATATCATTCATCCTCGCTGTATATACGGTATTGTAGTTTATATACTAGTTTTAGTTTAAATTAACAGGATAACGATTGCAGAATATTTGCACCAGTAATTTCACACACTCAAAAACAAGTGTTATGAGAAGGCTCTGTAAACTGTGGTGTGTCCTGTCCTCATAGTCTCTCCAGAGAATCTTAAAGCTGAGCACTTATGTTTGAGATAGTAGCTCTCTTTAGAAGCCTCTGCATAGAGTCTGGAGACGAGCGCTGTGACATGCTTGAATAGCTTTCTGTACCTCTGGGAATCTGCTTTAGGCGCAAAGAACAGATCCTTGATCCGGGGTTTCTTTCGTTTTGAAGAAATCTTTTGTTTCAGCGGTCTCTTGCACGGCTGGTTGGTCAGGCCTTTCACACGCTCAAACCTGAAATAGCAGAGACGAAAGAGAAACTTGTTGACTAGAGCTGCAACAATTATTTTGATAATCAATTAATCTTGCAATTCTTCTAGTTGTTTAGAACGTGGACGTGATTCAACATTTGATTCAGAACAAGTTTAAGTTAGGTTACTGAAGAACATTCTAGTAGATTTATAGAGTTCCAGATCAAACTATTTCATAATTAAATGGAGAAATGTACGCATTGTTAATTTGAGTGAACTGATAAATTCACTATTCCCTTAAGTCGGCCTTTTTCAATCCAAGAGAGATTTGGTGCCATTAAAGCAGGGGTCAAACTCTTTCCTCAATTGAGTCCAGTCTTAATTATATGATTGAGGAAAATGGGTGGAGTCACAGCGGCCACACCGGCCCTTTCTAGAACCATTTGACACCTCTGAGTCAAAGTGAACCAGGAAACATGAGTGAATTCTCCCTGAGATTGGTGCAGTTTTAAACATGTTTGAGGCCAGGCACAAACAGAGCCCCTGTCTGTCTGGAACATTGGTGATTCATCAAATATTTATTATCATGTTTTCATATTTAGTTCGTATCTATTAAACAGTCATCATGCAAATGTGTAAATACATAAAGTAACATGTTGCTCCGCTCACCTCTCCTTGGCTTCATCGTCTTCGCTCTCGTATTCTGACTCACTGGAGCCCTGGTGCCCTGTGGGCAGAGGTGGGTTTTCTGAGGGCACAGGAGGAGCTGGAGCCTCATACTGAAGACAAACAGTTACAATTATCAAACATATGAAGCACTGGCCCACCTATTATACAATACACACTACAACAAAAACGTATGAAATACAACTGGGCCTTTACTGATCAAATCTTTAATGATAATGATTTATAACATGATGATGTATAACTTCAATTATTCTTCAGAGTCCAAATGTCTTCCTTTTGCACATTTCTTTCTTTTGCACAATCTGAGTGTCTCTATCTATGCCAATGTGACATGTACATTTCTCCTTAGTGAGATAAATAAAGCACATCTCATCTTATCGTATTATATGTGTGCCTTTCCTGCTTTTGGTTGAAAAGGCATATTACCGTTTTTAGTTTTTAGAAAACGGCTACTAAAACTCAGTATGCATCGCTCACAAAAGCTTTCCAAGAAGTTTTGCACTTTTTCCACTATGTCGGCCTTGCCACCGGTGAAATCGTGAAAATCTATTTACAACTAGCAAACATTTTTAAAAGAATATGTGTAAAGCCCATCATATACACCACATAAACCTGAAAGCACACAGGCACAGAAAGTGAAAACTAATCGCACCATTCTAACTAGAGACTAGCCTTACATTACATACTGTGTCACCAGAATGATTGTAAATTGGGAGGATCAACCATTTTGATGATCCAACAGGAAAAAAGCCACCCTCCTCAATACCTTTAAGCTTTCTTACCATGGGTGGCCTTGGAGTGACAGGGCCAAAGGGACAAGGTAAATTCATTTTATTCATCAGATGGAGAACCTGCGCAGTGAAGAAATAATGACACCAGAATCTGAAAATCCAAACTCAAACACGCTGCTTGAACTATACGACCATATGTGAAACAGATTGCCATCCGAATGCATTTGAATTTACAATAGGAGCTTTAGGCAGGATTGAGAAAGGTGAAAAAAGTGGTAAAGCGCTATCTGACAGTCTGTAGCTCAATAGCACCACCAAGAGGACAGAATGGATACAAAATATTGGTGTGAGTCCAGGCTTCAGTGCTCTGAGGGAAATGTTAAGCCCATAACTCATGCCTCCCACTGATAGTTTATTATTAATACTTGCTTAACACCCCAAATTGAAATTTAAAAGGCAAATGTTTACAGTTTGATCTTGCTATGGTTGGATGCAGTTCAAACTCCCAATGGGAAATGTACCATTTTTTAAAGCTACAATATAAGTGAGGATTTGAAAGGCACAGGCAATTCTGGACGGTTTCTACAAATTATCTTTATCCATGCACAACTCAAAGAAGAAGAAAGTATGAACATGGATGGCTTGAATCTGCATAACAAAGGGAAGGATTAGACTGCAGTGGAAAAACATGGAAATAAAAGGATCCATTTGTGTTGTTGGTATAATTTGAATAAACAGAAAATGTATAAGGAAATTACAGGAGCCCAGATGGAGGTCATCCTGGTACAGTACTGCATTATTGAATAATAATTTAATAGAATTCTATAAAAATAGAATAGAACGAATGAATAGAATACAGTATATACAAATACACATTATAAACAATTCAAAGTGCAGATTACAAATAAATGCCCAGAGGCAGGAGATTATAAAGTGGCAGAAGTAAAACGTGACAGATGTGTACAGTAACAATTGTAAGCAGCTGGGATCTAGTGATGAGTTATGAAGTGATGGGGGAGCATGAGGGAAAAACTGTCGTTATGGTGGGAGGTTCTGGTCTGGATGGATTAGCCCTGTGCCTGAGGGGAGTAGTTGAATAGTATTGGCGAGCAGAATCCAAATTATTTGACAAGAACTACTAAAATACATTTTAAAATTGTTTCACAATATAATGGCATTGAACAGTGGTAGAGTCAACCAACCAAGTGAACCAATTTAAGGTGGTTCTGGTTCATTCTACCAGAATGACTTGATGAAAACTGGATGAGCGTTCACTTGTTTGGTGGCATCACGTTTCCCTAACCCAAGTTTGAAGCAGGTTTGCCCTGTTGGTTACATTAAAGTGAACTCTGATACTAAACTTAAATAACTAAATTATAGGGTTTTTGAGCCTGTCACGGATTCTTAACATTTACTTATGACTTACATACAGTCACTTTCAGTGTTTAATATTATAAAAGGGTAATGTCAGTCTTTTAGAGAGTGAAAATGATATCTTATATATAGATTTTAAGAGATATCTGCCAATAACATCCAGCCAATACAAAAGTAAAATAAAAATGAAGAAATTACTAAAAAACACACAAAATATGCTACAAAATATGAGCTGTAAACCAACTCTCCAAAACAAAATGTATAATAAATCTGTTATATAATATAATGTTTGCAGCACTTACCTGGACATAAAACTTGGGCACACAGATGAGGGCATGTGCAATATTTGTGAGGATGGTATTTGAGGGCGGGGGATATAAATATTTTAAATTGGGATTGGCCAGAAATTTCAACCTGAGAAAAAATATGAAGGGAATTGTCAATAATTATTCTTCAAACGGCTTTTAACAACACATTTCCTTTCATTACATGAACACATTAACAAAGTACAAGAAACAATAATTAATAGGTGCTTCAGGAAGTAAGCGGTCAGCCAGACATCTTATTCTCCGCCAACACAGTGTGAAAATCCAGCCATTAGGGGGCACTGGGACTGGTCTGCCTTGTCAGCGGGACTGGTCTGCCTTGTCAGCAGTACCGGCTTGTCTTCACATAATAACTTTCATAAAGCTTAGAACAACACTGGAGAACAGATTTAAATGTGCTCTGGTCCCATAAGGTGTGAAGTGAGCTCAACATGAAACTTTACCTGTCTCATCAACCTTATTAACCTCATGTGTTCTGTGCAAAGCATCAATACAGGAATAGAAGGACAAGTAGAAAGTATAAGCCAACGAACAAGTTTATACTATTTTTATGAAGGGAAAATTTAAAAGTCACATGGCTATAGAGACTGTGAAGGGTTAGCTGATCAAATCTTTTCATTTGGCTATAGGGTATTTAGTTCTTTGAAATCAGCCTCTAATAATTTAAATTCTGATATGATTGTAAAGACTATTTTAGCCTCACAAATAGTTTTATGATCTTTCTTTGAGTCTAAAGTATTAGGACAATTACTGGAAAATCATTATAAACAACAAAATGTGTAGCTGAAGAAAACACTTTTTTATAACTCAAAGTTGACGTATAAAAAGGGTGCCAACCTAGCCTGGTCTTACCAAACCATCGTCCTAATTTCATGTAGGGAAATAATAATTGACCAGAGTTTACGGATAGCTAAGGCCAGACGTGTGCCAACCTGAAGATGCTGTACAATAAGAAAGCAGGTTACAGCAACTTTCTTTCTGTTTTTTTAGAGCAGCGCTAACTAGATTATCTGAAGGTCAATTTGTTCCTGGTTTGGAGAAAAGCAATAGGTCAATCAACACAAGAATGGAGCTGCACTTACCCCAGGTTTGTTGCAATGTTTTCTTCTAAAAAGGGAATACTTTCCTGTTTGGACTCTGCCTTTTTCTCTTCAGTCGTTTTATCACTACAACAACAACAACACAAATGTAGTTAGTCTAGAAGGTGCTTTCAATAGAATAATCTAAAACATGGGGAAAATTATAGTTCAATGATCGTCCCAAGTGATGTTGGAGAAAAAGAATAATGGTATTTGGTTCTGGGTGAAGATCTAATTAAACAATTGCTATACATTTTGTTTGCTTATTTTCAATAAACGTATACGTTTGTATATTATATTCCCACATTCCAAATACTATTGTATCTACAATATTAAACATGTTGTGAGATTTCATAACACTTTTAAGCAACTTTTGTTGAAGTTAAACTCATCATTCTATTAATGTGCCGAAGCCAGTACTTTTCCCTTGTTTTGTCTATCTGAAGGCCAAGCTACATGGCACCGTGGAAGCTGCCTCCGCTCTGTATAATACACTTGCATTCTGTTGTTCGTGTTGTTCGTGCTGTCTCTACCATCGACAATAAAACATGTTTTCTGTCTGAATTAAAGACGCGATCCCAGACTTTGTCATCTTCTTCAGGTGGTGGAGGATGCGGGAATTGTCTGTAACATCTACAGAACAGAAGACTTTTTTTTTTTTTACACAAAAATTTGTTTTTGTTTTTCAAGCCAAAACTGAGAAACCTCAAGAGAAACCATGCATCTGGACCAGCAGACTTGGACAATCTGCACAGCCCCTGATTCCACTCAGACCTGCTGTGAGCTGCTGAGACATGGACAATACCATCGTCCTCTTTTGCATGGACATCATTTGGAACAATTGGATTACACAATTTGGACATAATTTGGACTGAATTGAATTGCTGAATCTGGACACTAAAGCTGAAACGTGTGATTTGAAAGACACGTTACAGAAGAATTCATGGCTTGACACAACAAATGCAGCCTGAAGAAACCAACACGGAGAAGTGGGAGAGACGGATTTCAAAGCAATATCTGAGAAACATCGACTGATGAAGTTTGGTATTTTACTGAAGATTGTTGACAAGTTTTATGAAAGATCTGAACATGTTTTATGAGTTTTTGAAGTATTCAGAGTTCTGAGTTTTTTGAAGTACCGAGTTTAAGTATTGAGTTATGATGTTATGTTGCTGTTTATCGATCCTGATGGTCAGACGTGAATGTGTGACCAGAGGGGGGAATGTGAGATTTCATAACACTTTTAAGAAACTTTTGTTGAAGTTAAACTCATCATTCTATCAATGTGCAGAAGCCAGTTCTTTTCCCTTGATTTGTCTATCTGAAGGTCAAGCTACATGGCACCGTGGAAGCTGCTGATTGGAGGTCTCCATGCCTCCGCTCTGTATAATACTATATAATAGTTCGTGTTGTTCGTGCTGTCTCTACCATCGACAATAAAATATGTCTTCTGTCTGAATTAAAGACGCGATCCCAGACTATGTCATCTTCTTCAATGTTATTAAGGTTCAGGGATAACTTTAAATATGTTTTTACCTGATTTTAGAGACAGGTGGATCTTTTAACTCTACAACATCATCAAGGCCTTTTGCAAACTCTACAACAAGTGTATGGCCAAGGACGTTCAACTGATGCAGCCGTGTGAGGACCTGAAAGGAAACAATGAGGGGGAACACAGTTAACATTTGCATAAAATGTCATTATCCATCCAATTAATTACAGTTGATGAACCAGGACGATTAACTGACCTTTGCCGCCAAACTCTCAGTCCTAAAAGTTGCAAATGCAACATTTTTCTGTTGAAATAAAACAGTGCATGCAAGTGTTATTTTAGTCCTTCTCACAAGTATATTGAGTCCAATATACAACAATAGTAGTGGCGCAACAATTAGACATTCATATCAATCAACAGGCTTAATCCACGATACTATTGCACTGAGCTGTTTTGGGAACACTATAAAAAACATATCAGTGGTGACAGCAGTCAGAAGTTGGACAGAGCATTACATTTATGGGAGTCAGAATGGTACTTCTATAGTAGCGTTGTAACGTATGTCTCGTATGACATATTCATCCCATTCCCTCGAGGTCTGATTATGTTTTTACTTGGATGGGGCAGAGAAATATCATAAATATTATTGAATGTATGACAATAGAAGCTACCATGCGGCCCCGAGGCGGCAGCACCCGAACAGACTCGGCTCCAAAATACTTGAGCAGATCTTCTTTGTCCTCAGGGCTCAAGTCAGGAGGAAGGTGGCGAACAAGCAGCGTCTTACTGCCCTTTGCCTTCGACGTCTCTTCATTACTTTCCATTTCCACGAGTCACGATTACAACATCAGTAATCACCGGTCACGGCTCTGTCTATGCTCCGCACTAAGTTACGCAGATGCAGTGTTAGCTATATATTAAATATGATTATAAATCCATGAGTAGCAGCGGCTTTACCAAACACCGATGCGGAACCATTACCAGGATTTTTATTGCTGTGTTTTGCTGATTCTTTCAGATGTATTAACTTTGCTGAAATATGAATGGATTTGTGCTAGCTGCCGCACGCTACGAGATTCAAAACAAACACAGACACTTCCGCATTTGTCCACGCAACAATCTGCGACACTGCCACACAGTGGAGAGCAGAGGGACTGCAGTTTCATTTAATTCCATTCCAAATATGTTCAAATGTTTCCTGAAAGGTGAAAGATTTCATAAAGTATACCAATAATACATTTATTATTTACTTAGAACACACCTCTGATATTTATTTCGGCCAGAAATGAATAAAGACCCTGCATTTCATATTTTTTGTTGAACTGTATGGCCACTAGATGTCAGCCTCACCTTGCAAAATATTGGGACTTAAAGACTGTGACAAGAAAACGAATGCTCACAATTGTATATATACAATTATTGAAAGTCAAACATGCAAGGTAATACATATGTATTACCTTGCATGTTTGACTTTCCATAATCATCATCTACCAAGAACCCAAGACTTAACGTAATTATATTTTGGCCAAGATATACTTTGTCTACTTGGAAAATATATTATTATTGTTTTTCATTAAATAAATACATCCACTTTTCAACACATCTGAGAATCTTCACATTTGCATCTTCACCCATGACCAGCTCTCTCCTGTGCACTTCTCGAGGTGCCTCCAAATTCCTGGCCACATGAAGCCTTTTCTTTGAGGAGCGATGCAAGGGCATTCCTCATCAGGGGGACACAATACCTCCTTTCAGCGAAGCCCCGCTCTGAAATTTCACAGGTGATGGGAGGAACGGTGGACATCCGATCCTCCACACTCCCTCCTCTGGACTCCACCATCTGAGGAGGAGGAGAGATACTGACCAGGAATATGGACACTGTTGAGACAGGAAAGGGCTAAGGCTTTGGATTTCATTCTGGTGACAAACTTTATCCTGGTTCATATGTCTGTGGGAACAAAGAACGATTGGGAGATCTCACTTCTTAAGCCCTGAGATTGGCAGACCATCATCATATTGGTTTGATCATACTAATAGTAAAGTAAAGAAGCAACATATATATCTTTTTATCACGTACAAATCCTTCCTTTTGTGCAAGTTCATATGCACTGAATGAAAACAAGGATCATGTTTTTGGTTTCAATCTTGGTTTCATGGCTTATTCAAATGTGATGACCCCACGGGGAGATAGCTTGATATATTTCACTGATTTGTTTGCACATACCAATAATTGAGAGAAAAGTTGAGATTCACTTTGACTTTTTTGTCGCTCACTTGTTGCAAGCTGTATGTGAAGAGATACAGAAATCCAGGCCCAAACAATCTGGTTATCATATGCACTCATCACACTTTTTTCACTTTGCGCTTGTAAATATGCGTGAATAAGAAGTGTTGACACCTTGAATAATAATAATAGTATTGATACGTTAATTCACTTTTAATTTGATATGGAGGTCTTTCGTTCTTGCTGCAGTCAAAACTCTACAATGAACAATGGACTCTGCTGATGCTGTATATTTACCAGGCCGGTAAGTCATACTCGCAGTATTTTTGTGTCTCAAGTCACTGAGTCACTTTAACACTTTTTCTGGGATGCATCTGTGTATTTAATCATACCCACTTTTCTATGTGTGGTGAATGTGGTTGAAATTTAGACAAAGAGTAATTGAGTTGTAGCTTTTTATTGACTCAAGTTCTTTAATGTGTGCAGCAGGAATAGTGCATTGCAGCCATTTTATTTTTTATTTTTTATTTTGAGCCACAAACTTATGGTTTAAAGACCAACATCGAAAGTGAAACTGAATTTTGATAAATGCTTGCCTGAGATTCTCAATATAGATCTTTATCACCATGTTTATATGAAGTGAGGCAGTGTTTAAATGATCAAGATTAGCCCTGATTTACTTTTGCGCTGTACAGTAGTTTATCTTAGTAAATTATCTTAGTATTTTTACAGTTTGTTTGTTTAGTCACATATACTGAGTAAACCTTTTGTTTGGAATACTCTAGCTATCCAAACATGAAGTGATCCATAGCCCCCATTTTTCTTGCTTCAGTATTTTTGGAAACATATGAACAATATGTCAGTCTTCCCTGGGTTCTCCTGGTGTTGGTCTGAAGCACAGACAGTAAAGTCAGGTCATGGGCATAAAAGGCTCTTTCATGATCCATCTATGAATGTGGCAGTGAGGCTGCTGCAGGTTTGTGGATGTTTCCAATCCCTTTCAACATCAACATGCATCCATTTGACTGCATAATGGATAACATATCACTTTAGAATCTGGGGAGAATCTCATTTTGAAAATTGTCTAATGAAATAAGAGTTAAAACTAAACAATCAGCACATTATTCACAGTCTCCAGGAAATTTGTCCTTTGTATTTGACCCATCTTACCAATGCCTCTAAGACAACTTGACTGGAGCAGTGCAGCACCCAGGAACCTATCTCCAGATGTTGATGCTCAGTTTGGTCAGGATTTGCTCGAGGGCTTAATCTATGGTTGCTGTGCTTTACTGCAGAGGAGGAGACGCCAACACGCTCTGTCCCATGGCATCACCTTTCAGCAAGAAAACTTAGTAAAGGCGCTAAACAAATACAACTGTTGTAAGCTGGGAAAAGATCACAGATGGTGTAAGATGCTGTGAAGATGACCTACTTTACATTCTACTGTGCCAAAGTTTTTAATAAGTACTTTTTATAATGTTATGTAAAAACTTGAAAATGTAAGTTTCTATACCACATAATTGGTGGATTGCTTGAAGAAAGCAGTGCATTTTTTATTGGTTGAGATGCTGCTTGATGGTAAAAGTGCCTCAAACCAAGTGATAGGGATGTCCTAATGAGGTGATAAAAGATACAGTGAATCAAAAAGTGATCCACCTAATGGTTGAGGAAACCATTGAAGGGTTATGTGGCTTGTAATGTGCCTGAAGCCAAACCAAAGATAAACATCTTAATAGTATATTTTGATGAGCTTACGGGCTGGGATAGGCTGGGTAAAAAAATCTGTTCACCCAGTTCAAAGCTAAATTACTATTACATAAACAGTAGCAAAGACATGTTTCAATGCACCAATTTTCAAAATGCCAACTATATCGCTCTGATTTTTGTTATCATACAAAATGGCTTGGAGGGTGGCTTTGTTGTTTTTTTTTAAAGCTTAACAATCTACATTCTTATTGTGTTGTCTCTCCTCTCATTTGTCATTTTTAGTTCCAGTTTTATATTGTATTATCTGTTCTTTTGCTGCATTGTGCACCTTTACAGTTTGAAGTGGTTTTTGTCTCCTTTATACAGAGCTCCTGAAAAAAGTGCAAATTGCTTTTGAAGTCACAACTATCTCTTTTGCAAACATTTGAATAACTATTGACTCCTTGTATGTGCTCTTCAGCAGGAGGGAGGACAGAGGCTGTAAGAGGAGACTGGACACTGGACACTGACTGTTGGCATTCCTCACCGATGCGAGAGGTGCACTTTGTCAAACACACACAGGCTCACTGCAACACGCTCAGCATCATGGACTTTTCTAACCAGATAGATGAGATGTTGCCAGAAAACATGTTGAAGAATCAATTAAATGCTTTTCATACAAATAGCAAAAATGTGTTTTTATTGCTTATCAACTACAACTTTATTCTAAAATATTAACACAACACTTTTGTTTTTGCTCCCATTTTCCATGAGATGGACTTAAAGATCTAAAATGTATTCCAGATACACAATATTACCATTTCTCTCATTGTTCAGAAATCTGTCTAAATGTGTGATAGTGAGCACTTCTGCTTTGCTGAGATAAACCATCCCACCTCACAGGTGTGCCACATCAAGATGCTGATCTGACATCACGATTAGTGCACAAGTGTGGCTTAGACTGTCCAGAATAAAAGGCCACCCTGAAATGTGCAGTTGTGTCTCACAGCAAAATTCCACAAGCATTGAGGGAGCGTGCAATTGGCATGCTGACAGCAGGAATGTCAACCAGATCTGTTGCTCGTGCATTGAATGTTCATTTCTCCACCATAAGCCGTCTCCAAAGGCGTTTCAGAGAAAATGGCTGTACATCCAACGGGCCTCACAACCGCAGACCACGTGTAACCACACCGGCCCAGGACCTCCACATCCAGCAGGTTCACCTCCAAGATCGTCGGAGACCAGCCTCTGAGACAGCTGCTGAAACAATTGGTTTTCATAACCAAACAATTTCTGCACAAACTGTCAGAAACCGTCTCAGGGAAGCTCAACCGCTTGCTCGTCGTCCTCATCGGGGTCTTGACCTGACTCCAGCTCGTCGCTGTAACAGACTTGGGTGGGAAGATGCTCACATTCGATGGCGTCTGGCATGTTCTTTTCACGGATGAATCTGGGTTTGCATTGTTCAGGGCAGATGATAGACAGCGTGTGTGGCGTCGTGTGGGTGAGTGCTTTGCTGATGTCAATATTGTGGACCGAGTGGCCCATGGTGGTGGTGGGGTTATGGTATGGGCAGGCATCTGATGGTCGAAGAACACAGGTGCAGTTTATTGATGGCATTGTGAATGCACATGCAGAGATACCGTGATGAGATCCTGAGGCCAATTGTCTTGCCATACATCCATGAACATCACCTCATGTTTCAGCAAGATAATGCACGGCCCCATGTTGCAAAGATCTGTACACAATTCTTGGAAGCTTAAAATGTCCCAGTTCTTCCAAGGCCAGCATACTCATTGGACATATCACCCATTGAGCATGTTTGGGATGTGCTTGACAGGCGAATATGACAGTCTGCACCAGTTCCCACTAATATCCAGAAACTTCACACAGCCATTGAAGAGGAGTGGACCA